ATCAGATTTGTTTTTACTATTCTATATTTCAAAGTAGCTAGAGAGAATAATTTGAACAGTTCTAGCAGACAAATATTTAATATGATAGATAACCCAAGTACACTGATTTGATCTTTCATGTTATACAGATGTGTTATATTATCACATGTACCCCCAAACTAAGTACGTCTATTATGCATCAATTAAAACAGATAGAAATGATAATTTTTCCAGTAGTATATAAAATAGATTAGAGGGTTCCATAAATATTGCCAAGAGGCCAAGTGAAAAGCTATTGCAGTATTTTTGGTCATATTTAATGGCAACACAAATTTGGGTTCTGACTATGGAGACAGGGAGAAGCATACATATTCAGGAGACAGAGAATGTGTGTGTGATGGATTAGACTTTGCAATACAGTAAACATGGGAAAGAAGAGTGTTTCAGTTGCTTTGCTGTAACAAAATATCATAAACTGGGTAGCTTACAAACCACAGAAATATATTTCTGCCAGTTCTAGAGTTTTAAAGTCCAATATCAAGGAAGCAGCAGATTGAGTGTCTTGTAAGGGCTGGCTTTCTGGTTCATAAATATTGCCCTCTCACTCTGCCCTCACATGGTGAAAGGGAATGCTGATCTCTTCAGATCATTTTAAGGGCTCTAATATCATAAGGGTCCTACCCTCTTGACCTAATCACCTCCCAAATGCCCCACCTTTTAATACCATCACATTGGAAATTAGGCTTCAACATATGAACTTTTGGGGGGCACAAACTTTAGTCACCATATCAGAGAAGAAAATAACAGATACGAGGGATGGTGATGCCCATTACTGATCTGGGGAATACTGATAGAGTACTAGTTTTGGGGAGAAGATCAAACATTAAATTGTGGCATCTAATGTTTGAGGAGATTTTGCAGCATGCAAGTGGAGACATCAAATATGCAGATGGTTAGATAGCTGTGCAATTCAGAAGAAATACCTGAATTAGAGGTATACATATCAGAATCATTGATAAACAGATTGTAATTCAAGACATGATCACTGATGTGATTTCTGGTGAGAGAGGATAATATAGTAGAGCAGAAGATGATTGATAATGAACTAGGTCTTGAACTCTATTACAAAATGATAGGGTGAAGGAAGATGGGCCTGCAAAGAAAAAATTACCACTGATCATAGAAATAGAAGACAAATCAGAATAGAGTGGCATCATAGAGAAGCCAAAAGAATAAATATTTCAAAAGGATAGTATGGTCAACAGTGTTAACTGTTACTAGATAGCAAGAAAGTGAAACTTTCCATTGGGCTCATTGACATGATAACTTTATCAAGCAGTGTTTTTGTTAAGAAACAGTACTAGGTGGATTAAAGGCTAAAATGGAAAGTTGGGAATATACTGAATAAACTGGACAAGTCTTGAAAAAGTTTGCCTTTGTAGAAGATAAGAAAAGGATAGAGGAGCATGAGGGACCAAGAAAGGGATGACCAGAAAAAATAGCAGTCAATAAAGTTTGGTTTAAATTTCTATATGAAGTGTTTTTTTTCTGATCTCACACTGCTATAAAGAACTACCTGAGACTGGGTAATTTATGAGGAAAAGATTTAATTGACTCATAGTTGTGCACAAAAAGCATGCCTGGGAGGCCTCAGGAAACTTACAATCATGGTGGAAGTCAAAGGGGAAGCAAACACTTCTTACTATGGTAGAGCAGAAGAAAGAGAGTGAAAGGGGAAGTGCTATACACTGTCTGATGACCAGATCTCATGAGAACCCAGTCAATATAAAGAGAACAGCAATGAGGAAATCCACCTGCATGTTCCAATCATCTCTCACCAGTACCTTCCCCCAACATTGGGGATTATAGTTCAACATGAGATTTGGGTGGGGACACAGAGCCAAACCATATCATGAAGAATGCACTTGTGAGGGAGAGGCTGAATTTATAATAAATAGATACTAGAAAATGGATGGACTCAGATGTTTGAGTAAAGTAAGAGAATAAATTCCAAAATGTGGGTAATGGGAATGACTTGAATTAAAAGAAGAGAAACTTGCTCAAATGTAGACAAGGGAATGAGAACGGTGGCTGCATGTGCAGGTCTGATGGTGTTTGGAAATAAGAAGTGAAGGAAGTTCTACTCTGATAATTGCACTTGTTTCTGTAAGGTAGAAAACAAGATCATCTGCTGAGAGAGCTTCAGAAAGAGAATGAGCCAGAATTTGAAAAAAAAAAAAAAAATTTTAAATAGTTCCTATGGAGACTCTGAGCCCAAGTTGAAAAGCAAAAGTATGACAGGAAGCTGGGTTCATTTGAGGCTGTTGATTATTGCCTTAGTTTGGGTTGCCTGAAGAATAGATCTGAAGAGGTTTTTGGTGCAAGAAGTTTATTTGGAAAGTGCTCCCAGGAATCAAAGTAGGGAAGTGAGATAAGAAAAATAAAGCAGCCAATAAAGGATGACACACATATAGGGATCAGGTTATTGCTGGAAGCAACTGGGGCTCAATCACGCAGGGAACTCTTTGAGACACTGTGTATCATACTTCAGGGTTGTCCAACTGAGAGGTAAAGGAGCTGGAATATTTACCAATTCTAAGCTCTTACTGGTTAAGGGTCACCCCTGAACTATTAACATTCCAGTACTCCTTGTCTGTCCAACATACTGGAGAGCCAATAAGTTGCTTATAGATGCTCGCAGGTTGAGAGACACAGGAAATTTTATGTTGGGCCAGAACTCAAAAATATTTTAAGATACTCTGATGATAAATATGCATTAATGATTATTGAAATATAATTCACTGGTTTGGGTAGGCAACCAAATGGCCATAGTAGGAAAGTATTTAATGAGATAACATCACTGAAGAGAGTGTGAGAAAAATATTTTTATGGCATGTAATTGTACTCTATATTTTAATCAACATTGTGAATGAAGAAATAGGAACCTGATAATCAAACTTGTGGATAAAAAATGTAGGAAATCTAAAAATCATATATGACACAATAAAAATCTATAAACATTTGTAATGTATGCACAAAGAAATTATTGACATTCAATGACATGGGATTTATAGGAATCAAGATCCATAGTCTCAATTTCAAGTTGAATGACTTGATAAATAACAACTCAATCTATATTCTATGAACTATTCTTTTTTTGATATGGAAGAACATAATGGTAACTGGATAAATTAAGTTCCTGGCCCATGGTACTGAGGTCAATTAATTTAATTTATCTGAAGCTCTATCTCATCCTATGGGCAGTTGGAATTGGTAATACCTAACAAAATAATTTTTTAAGAATGTAAAATGAGAATTTGTTTTTGTAAGGATTTTGTGTTCCATGAAGTTCTGTATCTGTCTAATTTTAAAAACAGTAGCTTGCAACTAATGTGAAAAATTCTAACAGGTTTATATAATTCAAAGTCCCAAATTTTGCATTCAATAGTTCAGCTCATAAGTTTGTGTAATTATGTTGTGGTATAACTGCCTTATTGATAGTTTATGTGAAAAATTCCTAAAAGTTTTAACCCAATTGAATTGCAATGTGAGTTGAAAATCTAATACTGAAGTGAAAATGCTTATTAAAACCATGGACTGTATCAATGAAAGTATTATAAACCAAAAAGGTAATTGTCTATTCTTCCCTATTTATACTACATACTACTGATACATTTCCTTTAAGTACCAAATTTAAGGAAATCAAGATACTGACAAACCATAGAATATCTACTGAAGTAACTCGGCATAGGGTAGGCTGATGATCAGGTATCTACTGATGGATCTGAAGAACTGATTTCAAATACTTACAATTTTGTATACTTTAGCCAATATTGTTCCAACTATTTTCCACCCCCCCAGCTCCTGGAAACTAACATTGTCTTCTGTTCCTTTGAGTTTGATATTTTTTTTTAGATTCCACATGTAAGTGAGATCATGTGGAATTTGTCTTTCTATACCTGATTTATTTCACTTAACAAAATTTCCTCCAGGTTCATACATGTTGTTACAAATGCAAGGATATTCATATTCTTAAAGATTTAATACTACTCCATTAGACACTTGGGTTGATTTTGTATTTTGGCTCTTCAATACCTAAATCACCCGATTAGAGTGAATAGTTTATCCCTGGTGACTCCAAAGATCTCTGCATAAAAAAGAATGTTTGAAAATAACAGAATAGGTGAGCTGATATTTATTGCAGCATGACAACGGACAGCAAAATGTAGTGGCTTAAAACAGCACTGACATTTCTCATAATTCTGCAACTTGGGCATTTCTTTTCTCTATGTGGCATCAAATGGAGCACTCATCTGTCTGTCTGCAGCTGGTGTTGAGATGGGTCACAGAAGGCTTTATTTGCATGCCTGGTGCCCCATGCTGCTTCTTGTGACCTCTGCAGATAGATAGAACAAGTTTCTTTAAAACATGATAACCTCAAGATCATTGCACTTCTTATTTAATGTTGCCTTCTCAGAATGTGTGCTCTAAAAATTCAAGCACTTATGTGTAGGAACTTATCGACACCTCACTTGCAATACTCTTACTATTGTCCCATTTGCAATAGAAAGTCACATAGCCAAACCCAAAGGCAATATGATTGGAGACTACAGAAGGGCATGAATATCAGGAATGTGGTTCAATGGTGACCACCAACAGGAATGTTTTTTTTCTCATAAATACTTCACCAAAATAAAAGGTCATCTTGGGAAGTAGTAATTTTTTGAATAGTGCAAACATTCAAGCAGAGGCTGGGTAATAGCTTATAGGAGATATTATAGAAGTGATTTTTTACATTGAGGTAAATAAAATGATCTCCATGATAATAAGACTCTAGATCAAAGCTGACTCCTAATTTGAGTCTACCTAATGGGCAAAATAGTGGTGCTATCAATACTAATAGAGGCATCAGGCAGGAGTCTCAGATTGATGAAATAGTGACAGATGTGGATAAATTGCATTTTCTATATAGAAGAAAGAGATAATCAAGAAATAATGACCTTTATTTTTTGCTGTCTTAGGTTGGATGTTGATATAACTGAACTTCACAGTTGGATTACTCGCTCAGAAGCTGTGTTGCAGAGTCCTGAATTTGCAATCTACCGAAAGGAAGGCAACTTCTCAGACCTAAAAGAAAAAGTCAATGTAGGTTATGCTTTTTTAAATATGTGTACTTATTTTGCGCTCTTGTAAACTCCATGTTTTGTTATCTGTGATTCTGTTAGTTGATAGAATTAATGCAATATGATAAAATGCTGTTTAATATATATTTAAAATATAGTTTAGGTAGCAAGCAAAATCAAAGTTTAGCCTAGAAAAATCTTTCTGGATTATTCTGTGACTGACTAGGAATGTGTTTCATAAACTTGCCTTAACTTACATATTATTTAACTTTAAATTAACAATTGTATAACATGAATTCATGTTGATTTCTTTTATATATTGTTCAGTCACTTCAAGGCTAGGCCTTGGCAAGCTTGCAGAATAGTATAGGGTAGAATAGAGTAAAATAGAATAGAATAATATAATAAATACCATATTTGGCACTTTGTTTATATTCTCACTATTATCAAAGAGTTATTCTTTATAGTTGTGAGTCTCTGTCATATATTATAAGATATTTAAGTATTACCTTAACTAAAAGATGGCCAGCTATTCTCAGTATTTACATATGGTAACAGATGCTTTGCTGTTGTTAATCCCTTTTGAGATGTTATAATTTTGACCTTCACAAATACAAAGTTTTATTAATTTGAATAAGCTGCTTCATCTTTAGGGAAATTGTCAAGGCTTTAAATTTTCAACTTCAACTATTATAAAACATGCATCTTTCTTTGTGATTGGCAGCAGTTTGTAAAAGAATTTCTAACAGGCAAACTAAATACAATGGGCAAGCTAAAGAAACAATGACTATAATGAAAAGTAATTTTATCTATGGGAAGGTCACATCTAAATGTGTATATTAGCTCTGTGTTATCTTTCCAGGATTCAAATCACAAAGTTCAAAATCTATTGTATTTTTACAAATGCAACATTACCTCACTTACATGATAATGTTTGCTATTGGGGTTGGAACTTTTGGAGAACACAAAATATATATATATATATTCTGGAAAAATAATATTTTTTAGACTGAAGAAGGGGAGACAATCTTGTCAACAGCTCTTTTTAGAGTTTACTTATAAATTGGAAAGTTATTTTAAATTACTTATTAGATTTATAAAATATGCTGTTGTCAGCATTATAATAGACTTTTCTAAACAGTTTCAAGAAATGGGAAATATAACTATATTGCTGATGTTTGAGTTTTAAAATTAAAATTAAAGATAATATATAATTAGTAGAAAATTAGTAAAATGTCTTTTTTCAAAATGTACTTATTTGAAGGCATATTCTTAGCTATGATTTTTGAGGCAAATTCTCTGAGTAACAGAAAATGAATTAGAAAATATTAAACTCTAAATAAGTTTGAAAGTTCACATTACATATTGATCACTGAGAGTATGAATCATCTTTGGCATTTTATTAGCTAATTAAAAATTGTTATTGATCTGATTCTTACAGTTTTCTGTCTGAGAGTCTGTTTCTTTATCTTAAAACAGCTTGGAACAGGCAGGAAATTTGAGTTCCAGTATTTCAGGAATACAAAATTTAAAATTTCCTGTTATCACTTGGTTACCTAAAAACTATTTGCATTTTATCAAATGTGTGAGCAGGACAGATTAAAAGTGTTAAAAAAAAGTACAGTATTTTATAAGTGGCTTTCTGATGCCTTGTGAGTCACCTTTATCAACTTGAACTCTCGTTTTCTGAAATAACAACATCGTACTTAATTGCCTACTAAAATAGGACATGAAATGATTTACCTAGATGATTCCTTCAGGCTAAATATAATGTATAGGTATTAAAAATCCTTGAGAGAAATACATAGTAATGATGATGGATACGCAATTTAGGCATACTTGATTTTCTTAGTACTTCACCTGTCAGTTTATGTAGGTTATTTTGAACTCATGGCAGGCCCGTGTCATGAACTTGAGTGGTGTTAATCCATTTTTAGGCCTCCATTAAAAATGGCTAAATATTGCCAACTCTTTTTTTTTTACTTGATTTCTTAATTTACTCCTTTCAAGTGTTTTTAGTCAATTAGCATATCATAGGCCATTATCAGTTCAATTTCATGTATTTTCAACAATGGAACTTTTAAACCTAAGCATAATTTTTTTCCTTGTTTATTGACCATGTGTTTATTCATGTAATTAACAAAACACACTTACTTAAAAACTGAGTTCTAGGGGAGCTTTCTAATCAAAATGTTCCTGGACCACAAATATTCACATTATCTCGGGAGCTTGTCAGACATATAGAATCTCAGAACTAGTAAATCTAAATTACATTTTTCAGGAGTGAGTCCTATGCACATAAAGGCTTGAGAATCAGTATTCTAGGACACTGTCACGGGCTTTACCTAGCAGTTCCCTCTCACATTCTTTTAATGTCACCACAGTTCATACTTTTCAGCAGAAATAACAGATTCTAACTGCTCAAATTATTTAATTGAGCACATGGTAACGTAAATTGGTAATAAAACACAAATGCCTCCTCTAATCACAAGGGAATTTGATACAGTGTCTGAAAATCTGGAGCTTGTACAAGGTTCTCTTGAAAGCCTTCCTATCAAGCTGTTATGATCTGGCTTTGGGCTCTTCATAGGATCTACACTTGCTGACACGCTTACAGAATCAACTTTTTACCAAGTCCCGCTGGAAATCATCAAGCCAGTTAATTCTTCCATTTCTTCTATCTCTATTACCTGTGTTTACTACCCAGAGTGTAGGTACCTTGATCCTATATTTTCTTCTTTCTCTTGTGCTCTTCTGTACTTTCTTTCCCTGGCTTTACTTCCTCTGCTTTTCCACACTCTCTCACTCTGCAGGCTCAAACCCTTTTTCAACACAAGTCTTCTATCCTGTATCCTTATTCTACTCATACATGGAAACCACTTTTACTCTCAAAAACAGCAGAATGACTCATCCCTTTTTGTACCCCCACTACTTTAGAATGACTGATTTCCTCACTTAACAGAGACAATTCCAAAGATACTGCTCTCTTTATTTAAAAACACCACTTTCCTTGCAGTTAATGGCTTCTGGTCATCTATTATCTACCATTTTGTCATATTATTTTCTCACTGAAAACTTTGGAACTAGGTTAATAGACTTTTTCACCCAAGTTGTTCTTTCATTCTTAGCAATTTCAGCACCCCTGTGGGCTGTCCTGCTATTGCCAAAAGTTTCTGTTTCTCTCATTTCCTCAATGCAGTTACCCGCTGTCATGATTATATGTAAATGTTGTCATTGTCAGGCATTAGTCCATTTCTTAAATAACATATTTTAGCAAAACCAGCAGTTCTTCATAAGCTTTCCATGCATCCTATTTTCTCCTTAATTTATCTCAACAATTACTTCAGGCTTTTGTGGGGTGCCTAAACTTTCCCCATCATTCACAGTAAATGACTTCATCTCCTACTTTAGTCAAAATAATATTTCTCAAATTATCGGTATTTATGCTAATGGTCTCTCTTTTTTTTTTCCATCTGCCTCGGTGAAGAGGCTGTGCTTCACCTGGTTGAGGCTGACCTCTGTGTGTGCGTTCTCAGTAGCATCACTGTCTATGTATTAAGGTACCTGCGTCCATTCAGCTATGTATCCAGATTGTCAGAAATCTATGTTCCAGGTCTTTATCATTAGCCTTTAAACTAGTTGTGTTTTCATCTTTTAGAAAGTATCAGGCTGGGCGCCATGGCTCATCCCTGTAATCCTAGCACTTTGGGAGGCTGAGATGGGTGGATCACAAAGTCAGGAGTTTGAGACCAGCCTGGCCAATATGGTGAAACCTTGTCTCTACTAAAAATAAAAAATTAGCCAGGTGGCGGTGATACACCTGTAGTCCCACTACTTGGGAGGCTGAGCCAGAAGAATTTCTTGAACCCAGGAGGAAGAGGTTCCAGTGAGCTGAGATCATGCCACTGCACTCCAGCCTGGGCAATAGAGCGAGACTCTGGAGAGAGAGAGAGAGAAGGAGAAGGATAAGGAGAAAGAAAAGAGTCCTCTCCTGTGAACACACATGTGAATACTTACGTGCCTTATCTTACTCAACCTCTTTGTAGAACTAGAACCTCTTAGCCACATATCCCTCATGAAATTCTTTTCTCACTTAACTAATGGGATAATGCTTTCTCCTGATTAATTCTTTTACATTTGTTCCAATTCAGTTTTTCTTTAGTATTGATATCCTTCACAGTCCTTGTTTTTCTTCTCTGGATATCCTCATTCATTCTCATTCAAATAGTATCTATTTTCTAATGAACCCTTCCCCCATATGTATTTTTAGCTCACATCTCTTTCTTAAAGCCCAGGGTGACATATCTGAATGCCTAATAGACTATTTTAATTGAATGTTTGCCTAAAATATTAAATCTCATTATTTCCCCAGATCTACTTTATTCTTACTCCTTCCTTTCACCAGGCAAACAGCCTAATCCAGAAACCTGACAGCTAACTGGTTCATCTAGATTTTTTTTTCTACCATTCACAAGTCCAATCCTTGACAAGTTCAATTAATCCTGCTCCCTTAACAACTCTTGAAAATGTCCACTTCCCTCTATTCCCATCACCAAAACCCTGATTAAAGCTAAAATCATGGCTTACTTCCATTTAAGATGACAATCCCCTAGCTGGTCTTCCCTGCTACTAATGTTATATTCCTTTAGAAGTTTTCACATCACCTCTGCCAAAGCTAACTTATTAAAACATAAGTATGATCTTGTTATATCTCTGTTTATAATCATTTGAGAAAGATAAAATCAGCTACTGATACCCAGGAGCTGGCTTGGCACTTCAGTTAGGCTTTGGAGCTGTTAGATGTTGCCTTGGTACTTGTAGCTAGTCTTTGATGTTCTCTGGTTGAATATAAACAATTGCTAAGAATGCCAACTTCATACAGGGCCACTCCACGGTTGTGATGAATCAAGATAAAAGCAAGATCACTTTGTAATCATATCTTAATACAGACAAAAAGAATAGCATTGTCTAATCTACCCCTAATGACCAAATATCACTACTCATCTTCATTAATGTGACACA